TCTGTAAATGTCAGGGCAGGCAGAGGAGCATGTGGTATTTCGGTGCAGTGCTGGGGGAAGCTCCAGCAGCTCTGTCTGTCTGTCTGTCTGCTCCTGAGTGGAGATGAATGAGCCTCTTGAGCCACGTCTATCCAAACATGAGGCTGTTGGAGCGTTAAGCATTTTCCCTTCTCTTCTGATTGATACGTTGTTCTAGTGTGGCAGAGCATCTCTGCTCCACAGGGCCGTTACCTTGTGAACTGAGGCACCCTGTGGCTCTCCAAATTGAGGTGCCCTGAGGGTCCCCAAGCACTGTGATTGTCACTAGCCTTGGCCGGGTGTGGGCTCTGTATCTTGGCTCTCTGGCTGAACCCCATGTCTCTGCAGGCGGCCTCAAAGGAGCTGCAGTCGCAGTACAAGGTGTGTGTGCCCCAGTGTAAGCCTCTGTCCCCTGGTGAGATACTGGGCTGCACATCACCCCGGCTCGCACGGGACACTGATGCCATTGTGTAAGTACCTGCTGTCCCCAAGGACCCTGCAGCTCAAGGCAGGGCATAGAGCCAGGCTGGAGCCGTGCTCCACATCCAACCCCATCCCCATCCTCAAATCTGCCTCTATCCTCAAACCCATTCCCAGTCATGTCTCCGTTCTCAATTCCGTTATCATCCCCACTACATCTGCAGCCCTCTCCCCATTCCCAACCTTGTCCCCAAACCCATCTCATCCCAATGCCATTCTCATCCCTAGAGCCATCCCCATCCCTACCCTATCCCAAATCCTTTCCAATCTCGACCCCATCCTCAACCCCACCCCTATGCCCTCCCCAAATCTGTGGGTACATCTTCCTGGTGCCAGGATTGCCCATCCCTCCCCTGCCCTGCCTGGGGTGTACGTGGGCTGGGCTGGGTCCCTCCGGCTCCTAAAGCTGCTCTGATTGGCGTCTGCTCGTAGCACAGAGGAAATAATTGAGTCGTATATCAGAATAGATAATAGATGGAAGGGCGGGTGGATAATTGGAAAAGACAAATGGCCGGGGCCCAACATCACAGCAACATTAATTTTATTTAAGGACAGCAAATTAGAGGGAGCACTTCGCTTCCTATCACCTAATTATTTTAGGTAATGGAAATGCTTAATGTACTGTGAATACAGTGCGCTGCAGAATAAATAAATACGAGGACCCCACCCTTGGAGGTGTTAAACCCCATCTCAGCCACCCGGGGTGAGGCAGAGCATCGCCCTCGTGTTCCCAGCCATGGGGCAGCCATGTGGGACGGGGCTGTGACTTTGCCCTGCACCTGGACCTGGGGGCGAGGCACTGCGTTTCTGCTGTCCCCAAAGCCACCATGCTGGCATGAGCACACCCATCCTGCCATTGGAACCATAGCATGGGACCCGCAATCCTCCAAGGTGCCCACACCCAACATACCTGCATCCTCCCCGCGTTGTTATTTTCTTATTTAGCCCGTCTCTGGGGCTAACTTTTGCCGACAAATTAGCTTTGATCTTCCAAAATGTCATTCTCCAATTAAGGGCAAAAATCTAGTCAAGTTTTACGTCTGAATTCATTTTCCGAGCCCTCACTCCATTAGGGCAGCTGAATGAAAGGCTTTGAAATGTAATTGCTGACTTGAAATCCGATTAGAAATGGAAGCAGCAACGTCTATAACCAGCCGTAGAGACGGAGCGCTGGCCCTGCTGCTTCATGTCCATTTTTGCTCCAAAAGTGGCTGTCCGTCCATCCATCCATCCGTCCGTCCGTCTGTCCGTCTTTCTCTTCGTACTGTCCATCTCTCCGTCTGTCTGTTCATCTCTCCATCCATCTGTCCAATCGACCATCTCTCCATCCATCCATCCATCCATTTGTCCATCCGTCCATCTGCGTATCCATCCGTCTGTCCATCCAGCCAGCCAGCCATTTGTCCATCCATCCGTCTGTCTGCCCATTTGTCCATCTGTCTGTCCATTTGTCCATCTCTCCATCCACGTGTCTGTCCATCCAACCATCCTCCCATCCATGCATCCACTTGTCTGTCCATCCATCCATGTGCCCATCTGTCCATTCGTCCATCCATCTATTAATCCAGCCATTTGTCCATCCATCCATCCATCTGTCCATTCATGTGTCCATTCATCTGTCCATCCATCCATTTGTCCATCCGTCCATCCACCCACCCCTCCACACCCTGCATGCTGAGGAAGGAGCACACGACTCCACCACCTCCCATTCCTCTCCCTCTCTCCCGCAGCTATTTGGGGGACGGCCGCTTCCACCTGGAGTCCATCATGATCTCCAACCCGGGGATACCCGCCTACAGGTAGGGCCAACTCCTCCCCCATCCCAGCAGGGCAGAGGGAGCCACGCTCCATGCGATGAACACCAGCCATTTACTCCGGCTGAATATAAACATTTTGACAAGTACCTGTGAAAGCTCTTTGAGGTGCAGCCATTAAACTCCCCGGCTGCTGCAGGCAGAGGCCATAAAGCGCGATGATGAGGCTGCTGAAAGCAGATGAAATATCAAGAGCGAAAGGCAGGGCCCATTTGGTGAAATCTGAATTTCTTAGTAGGTCATTTGTTACGAACGGGAGGCGCGCGTCAGCTTTATGGCGCTGGGGAAGCTGCCGAAACCCGAGTGGGATTTGATTAAAATTCTCCTCGTCAAACAAAGCAACAAATCAAAGATTCCTTTATAATTGATGAGCCGGGACTGGGAGGGGCTGAGTGTGGGGGGCTGCGATGGGAGCGCAGTCCTGGCCCCGTTGCCCTCCTGATGAACCAGCTGGGCCCTGTGAGCTAATTAGTGCAAATGAAGGAGGGCACGGAGCAGTTTGGGGGCCATCTGTGGGGCTGGGCGCTGCTTGTGGCTGAGTTTGGGTCTGCTCCACAGGTATGATCCCTACAGCAAGGTCTTCTCGCAGGAGCATTATGCCCATGACCGCATGCGTGAAGCCCGGCAGGCCGCCATCCGCTCCGCCACCCGCGCCCAGTGCTGGGGGCTGCTGCTGGGCACCCTGGGGCGACAGGGATCCCCTGCCATCCTACAGGTACTGCTGGGTCCCCTCACCTTGGAGACATGGCTGGGAAAGGGGCAAGGACAGTGCCTGCCCTCTCTTGCTGCCATCGATCCGCCCCAAGCCGTGCGGGCAGGGCAATTAGCAGCAGATGAGGGAGGTTGGCCAAGGGCTCATTAAACACTGGCCAGCCGTGGAGACCCCCCTGGATGAGCAGCTCAGCAATTAATTCGCTGGTTTGGTTTTAATTGGATGAACTCCTGCTTGGGTTCGCTGTCTCTGCGGGCAAGGGGAGCAGAGCCAAGGTGCTGCCGTTGATGTTGGCGGGGATTTGGGGGATCAGCAGTGAGATGTGGGGCAGAGATCCTGAGAATGATTTTGGGGGGCGGCTCAGGGAGGTGACGGGCGCAGTAGGGCCCGGGAAACAGTTGGTGGCTCTGAGGTCACGGCCACACTGCTCACGTCCTCCCACAGCCTTCAGCCCTGCAGCAGGCAGGCGTCCCAAGGCTGGCAGCCGCTAACGAGAACAGATTGTTGTCATTGAGCAGTAATTACTTCATTAGGCTGAGGCACGCGCTAGGGGAAGCGGCGTGCGAGCTGGAGCTGCGGCCCTGTCACCGTGTGTGCCCCCTGGATGTGGCAGGGACACAGAGCTGTGTTCCCAAGAGGGCTGAGGGCTGAGCTTTGGGTTCTCTATGGCCTTCTGGATGGAAAGTGCTGTGCGGGTTAGCATGAGGCTGGCCAGCCCCTGAACCACGGTGCTGTTTTTCTCCCCACAGCACCTGGAGTCACGGCTGCGTGCCCTGGGCCGGCCCTTCGTGCGGGTGCTGCTGTCTGAGATCTTCCCCAGCAAACTGCAGCTCTTCGACGGCGTGGATGCGTGAGTGCTCCCGGCCCCATCCCTGTGGGGAGCCCCAGAGCCGTGCTGGGAATGCGGTGCTGGGCCTGATGTAGTTCTGGGCTGTTGTCATGGAGAGTTCCTCCGTGGTGCCCCTAAATCCAGGTGATGTTTCTTGGTCCTGGGACGCAGCACGGTGAAGGGGAGCAGCTCCTCACGGCGGTGTCCAGAGCCGTCCTGAGGTTTCTCACACGGGGCTGTTGGGGGCTTTATTGCTGCCATTCTCCTCACAGGTGGGTGCAGATCGCCTGTCCACGGCTCTCCATCGACTGGGGGGAGGCCTTCGGCAAACCACTGCTGACACCCTATGAGGTGAGCAGCCCCCGTTGCGTTTCAGGAGGACCCCTCCCAGCACTGCAAGTGGCACTCAGCCCCTTATCCCTTCCTCGCAGGCAGCGGTGGCTCTTGGGGACATCGAGTGGCAACAGCCGTACCCCATGGACTTCTATGCCAGTCAATCCCTGGGACCGTGGACGGCCAATCGCTCAGCACGGCCAGCCCAGGTGGGCGCTGGGGGGTGGGAGTCCCTACTGTGTCCCTTGGTGCTCGGTGCCGTGTGTCACAAGCGCCACCCAGTGGCTTGCTCCCTGGAGAGCAGGGCTGGTGCCCACGCGGCGCCTTCCGTCGGGGCGCAGGTGGCCCCTTCTCTGCTTACCCCATGTCTGTCCCCACAGGAGAAGCCACTCACAACCCCCAGCCTGAAGAATGGCACTGAGGGCTCCCGCAGTGCTCACCCGCCTGAGGACACGGCCACATCCTGAACAGGGTCCCGGTGGCCCCGCTGCCACCTGTGGGGACTTGGCGTGGGTTCAGCCACCCCAGGGTGAGCATCATCGGGGCCACACGGATTTGGGGCATCCCTGGTACCAGCACCAGGATGGAAAGGGGTGGAACTGAGGACGGCCCGTATGGCCTCGTTGCCTGCTGGAAGCGGGTCGCGCAGCCCCTCCCATTCCGCATCCCCCCTCACTGCACGGCGCCGGTTCCACTGGCACCCCGTCGGGGCCGCCCTCTCCACATCCCCGTCCCGCGACCTCCCGCCGCAAGGGGGCGCGCCGGCGGACGGTCCTCCCCGAGCCTTTCCTTGCGTGCGGCGATAGCCAATCAGTGCGTAGCTTTCCGGCGGGAAGAGGGGGCGGCCGGAAGTGCCGCTCACTTCCGGCTGTGGCGGGCACCATGTCGGAGGGGCGGCCGCTGCGGCTGCTGGCGCTGCACGGCTACCGGCAGAGCGAGCGTCGCTTCCGACAGCGCACCGGCGCGCTGCGCAAGGCTCTGCGAGGCCGTGCTGAGCTCGTAGCCCTCGATGCTCCGCACCTCGTGCCCGGCAGTGAGGATGAAATAAGCGACGACCCCCCACGTGGGTGGTGGTTTTCCAGGCCGGGAGCTTTTGAGGCCTCGGAGGCAGCGGATCAGCCGGCAGGGCTGGAGGAATCGCTGGAGGCCGTGGCGAGAGCGCTGGAGGAGCGCGGGCCTTTCGACGGGCTGCTGGGCTTCAGCCAGGGTGCGGCGCTGGCCGCTATGGTGTGCGCCCTGCGGGCCCGCGGGGATCCGCGCTTTCCCGTCGCCTTCGCCATCCTGGTGGCCGCCTTCGCCAGCCGCGCGCCGGCCCACGAGCACTTCTACCGGGAGCCCATCGCCCTGCCCTCGCTGCACGTCGTGGGCGATGCCGACGCTGTCATTGCCGCGCACCTCAGCGCTGAGCTGGCGCGGTGCTTCGTGGAGCCCGTCGTCGTCACGCACCCCGGCGGGCACTTCGTCCCCGTGGCTGCGGCACAAAAGGAGGCCTACCTGCGCTTCTTGGAACGTTTCTGCCCTGGGCAGGGCCGGGCTGAGCAGCCAGGGGCTGGAGCAGTGTGATAGCAGTGTCTGTAATTTGTGGTGGGCTGCTTGGTGGGGCATCTTGGAGCTGAGCTTGCTGTTTCTGCTCTCTTTGGAGAGGTTGTCACGATCTCTGTGCTCTTTTGCTATATTAACATAGTGAAACTCTTCTGTATCTCTTCTTTGCAACTTTATTATGTATGTGACATTGGATTGCAGGCAAGAGAGTGATGCAGCTGTGCCTGATGGACTTTCAGAGTCCCTTTAAAAGTACGATCTCAGTCAGAGGAAGCAGCTGCAGAGCACACAGTACTTGCAGCTCTTATATCCAAAAAGGTTTGTGTTTTCAGTATCCCCTACTAAATAAACGAAGCCAGACTTTCAATGGGCCTGGGCCTAGAGAAGACATTTCCTGGCAGTGTCAGGGTTGGTGTTTGCCTCATGCATTAAATTTCTCTGCTGGTTCAGCTTGTATGAATTGAGAGATCTGTTATATCTTCTGCTGTGCAAAGAGCCTTCACAAACGAGGAAAAACTCAACCATTGCTAGGTTTTGGTCTGATATTTTCCAAATGCACACAGAAATCTGCGATGCTGGTGTTGTTCCTCTGATGGTAGGCATCCTGCTTGGCTGCCACGTGGCTTCAGTGCTGGGGTACACCGGCCTCGGGTCTGTACCCAGAGGGACTTCAGCTCACAACATGGTCTCCGATGCCTTTTTTCTTCAGTGATGAAATGCACGTAGATGCTAAACGTGGTAGTTTGCTCGTGTTGCCAGGTGGGGCTGTTCTCCTATATTGCTGCACTGAGGTCTCATAGGTGGGGCTGAGCAGAGGATGGTGCTGGGCAATTCTCTGGTGGGTCACAAGCACCAGGAGGAGAGAACAGTGCTGTGATACAGGTTGGGAAGGTGTCACCTGAGTATGGGCTCCTCATGCTTCCTCAGGCTGAGGCTCTGAACCTCAGGCAACCACGGGGAGTGGATCAGTAGACGGAAGCACTTTCAGCATTCACTGAGCCGTGAACACGCCTGGGATCCGCCGCAGGTCAGAACTAACTGAGCAGCTTTAATTCGTGTGAGTTTTGCTCTCTGGTTTCTTGCTGGTTCTGTGGCAGCAGCGTGATGGAGGCAGCAGTGAGAGCATGAGGCTGCTTTCCCCTGCAGGTCAGGTTTGCACTGATGTTGCTCTTGGGTAACTGAAAGGTGTGGAGGCTCTGGGGGCTCCGGCATCACAGTGCTGCTTGGCCGCTTCCTGGGCTGATGCAGAGCTGTGGGGTGTCTGTCTGTCACCCCTTGGTCTCTGCATTGAGGACGCTGGGGGTCGGTTTGGGGAGCAAAAACACAGCTTTTGGCCCGCAGGGAGGTGGGGAAGGAGCACGCGGGGAGACGCAGAGATGCTGCTGTGCATCTACACACCTGTTGCCCTGCCAAGCAGCAGGGGGTGGGTGAACGCAGCCAAAACAGCGAGGCTGAACCTCGTGATGACAAAGCAGCAGGGCCTTTGTCTCGCTGCTTTCCCACCTGAGCTTCCAGGCGCTGTGAAAAGACAGCAGCAGGCAGCTCGGCCGGCCCGCCGTTAGCCGTTTCATTATTGCCGAGCTTGCAGCTCGCCGTGGCGCTTCGCCGGCGCAGCCCATCACCGCGGGACGGCGCGGATGAGGCACTGCAGTGATGTCTGCTCGCCGCGGTCCAGCCTGCACTGCGGTCCCGCAGCCGCTTCCCCCGCCCCCGTGTCCCGCAGCAGCACCGGCCGGAGGCACCGCAGCCGTTCGCTGGCGTTGGAAACAGGGATGGACCTGTGTGTGTGCGTGGTGAGTGAGCAGAATGGCCCTGCTGCTTCCCATGCGGCTCTTCTGGGGAGAATGGAGGGGAAGGGGGGGGGGTTGACGAGTGGGTGGGCTTGAATTCTGGGGGCTTTTTGATACTCCAGCATCTGCATCTCATTCTCAAGGGGTTCAATAAAAAAATTTTTAAAAAGCCAGGTGTCTTCTCCCTGAGCTGAAAGCAAATAATGAAAACAAATCAAGCTGACCCTTCATCTGCATGAGGTGTCAGCAGGGCGGGAGGAAGGTGGTTTTTGCACCTGCTGTGATGGGAGGAGGGAAGTGACTCCTGCAGACATCACCTGCTGGTCGGAGGAGGGGGCTGTGCCCTGGAATCCTGCCCACCACAGCCCCTCCGAGCATGGCTGTGTCTGCCCCATGCCACGCAGCACCACTCGCACCTCTGCTTGCCTTCTGCCACCTCAGCAGCAGCTCGGCCCCGTGCCACGTACCTTTTGCTGGTCCAGGTCTAGTTCCTATGATCTACCTTCTTGTGAGCTGCGTGGGGAAGAAAACAGGAGGGATGTGAGCCTGAAAGAGAGGCTGGCAAATGTCTTTCCTACCCAAGAGCGTTATTCGTGGGGGTTTTGCTTTTCCCCGCTGTGTTGCCTTTACCCAGTGGCGATGGGAGCCTGTGACAGGGATGCACTTCACCCTTCTGCTCCCTATTTCTGCCCCCCAAAACAGCTTTCAAAGCTCTCTGCATCCCCCCCAGTGTGTCCACAGCAGTGCCAGCCCCCCAGAGCAGCTGCACCCCTGCTTGCTGCCATTCCTGCCGCAAGCTCTGAGGCAACCAGCAGCACTGGAGATGCTGTGAGCATCCCAAGCATCCTCCCACTGGCAAACACCCACCGCCTGCTCCCTGCATCCCTTCCCCAGTGCTGCTGCTGACTCAGGCCCTCCCCCGCTCCCTTCCTGCTCTCACTGCCCATGCAGGGCTGGCAGACACAAACAGGGGCTCCCGTGGGTTGCGCTGACAGCGGGTCTCACCGTCCTTCCAGCCTTACTCATCTCACTCTTCCTCCCCTACAGCCAGCATTGTGCAGGGCCCGATGCAGACTGCTGGGGAGGGGATGCTCCTGAAAGGTGATGCGTTTCATGGATGCTTACACAATGCATCTCCCTTGGGCCTGGCTCTTACCTGCAGTGTGCTGGGATTTGGGCACAAGAGAGCTGCTGGACACATCCAGGGGTGTCCCTGGGCCCCGCTGCCCAGTTGGGACCAAGCTGGTGGGAAGAGTCCCCCCCTTCTCTGCCTCATCCGCAGAAGCTTCCAGTTGTGGCTGAGTCACTCCTGCTGTAACTCCTTTTCTCCTTGTTTTCGATGGAAGTTTTCCATGGAAACCCACGCTGGGCCGGGCCACAGGCTGGGATAAACACGGCTGAATCACAAAGATGGTTTCGCCAAAAGCTGTCAGATGGTAACAATAGCAGACGGTGAGGGGCATCCAGGGGCCGTGCTGCCTTTTGGGGGGCAGCAGCACCCCTTCTCCCCCCCGTTCTCCCCTTCCAGCCCTGTGGGCACGTGCTGCACACACCAGCTCCATGGCACAAGGTCCCTGTGGCACAGCTGTGAGGCTTTGGGCAGAAGCTGGGCTTTGGGGCCACGTGTTCTGCATGGGGAAATCCCACCTGGGGAGAGCAGGATGGAGGCATCCAAATCCTCCACCGTTGGGCTTGGCAGGGGTAGGGCTCCCCAGGATGAGCCTTACCCCATCCTGGCAGCAGGAAGGCTGGGATCACGTGTTGCTTCTCATCCAGCAACCCAACCTAGGGCAGTGTTTGTGCAGCACCCATTCACCCACAAGCTCTGTCCCCTTGTGGCCAAGGAGCACGGGAGCAGGGAGGCTTCTGTCCCTTGATGGATAGAGCCCTGGCCCTGTGCTCGGTTCCTTGGAAGCCAGGCTCCTTGGAAGCCAGTGTCAGAAATCTGAGATATTTTTAAGTTTTTTGGAAGAAAAACTAATTCCAATGTGTGAGCAAAAGTTGGCCTTCAAAACAACAACAGCGCCGCTTTGAGTCTTTGAGGAGATGCAGGCTGGGGGCTGTCCCTGTCCCAGGGGTGCTCCCATCACCTGGGGATGCATTTTGGGCATCGTCCTGTGGCCATAAGTGACCCCCTGCCACAGGACCCCGGGTTTTTCTGGAGGGCAAAGGGTGTTTTTGGAGATGAGTAGCACCTCAGGGTGTCCCTCCCTGCACTGCAGTCCAGCTGTGGCTGCCACAGTTGTAGGTTCTCCCCACTGATGGGGCCGCCCCAAATCCCACTCAGGCACGAACAGAACTGCTGGGGATGGGGCACAGAGTGCCCATGGATGTTCCCTATGGGCTGCTCTGGCCTCAGGTGGGGGAACAGAGCACAGCCCTCATGCAGGGGTCCACCAGGCTGCAGCTGCCCTGTCCCCATCCTGCCCTCTTGCCGCTGTCACCCCCCAACCCCTCTGTCCCCAGCACCCACCTGCATGAGTTCAGCACCGCCCATCCCCCTCAGGGCTTCCTGGGGGTTCTTCCCCCCCCCCCCCCGTGCCAACCCACCCCTCCCCCCCCGGCTCTCCCGACCGCCACCGCTCACCGCCGGCTGCCGAGGGCCCGATGCCCGGTAACGGGGCGGGTCGGGCCGCTCTGACTTCGCCTCTCAGGAATCTCCTGGCCGCGACGGGTGAATTGTGCAACCTGCGCCCGCCCCCGGCCACCACCATCCGCCCCGTCGGGCCGCTCTCAGTCCCCGCCGCCGCCGCGCCCGCGTAGGGCCGCGCTCCGCTCCCGGTGCTCCCCCCACACCTCCTCCCCCAGCCCCGCGGCACGGCGCTCGTCGGAGCCGTCGGTGCGCATCGCGACGCGGCACAGGGAAGCGGGAGAGCTCCCCGTCGGGGCGGCGAAAGGGCAGGTGAGGGGCTGCGGGGCGGGGGGATAATGCGGGCTGGGGGGGTAGGAGGGGATGTGGAATAGAGGAAGGGGGGTCCGCGCTGTTCCCCGTGCCGAGGAAGAGCCGCTCCGCGCCCGCCCCCCCGAACAGTAAGAGTTGATGTGCGGCGAACGCAGCCTGCATGTGAGCTCCTACTGCCGCGGGAGGCGGGGCTGTACCCGACGGGATCCCCGCGCGCGCCACTCTGCCCCCCCC